GACTGATCGCTGTCTCCATTCTCCCCTGTACAAGGCACTTCATTACTTTAATTGCTTGCCCACCCAGCTTCGCCAAATCCCTTCTCGTACTCTCTTCAAATCCCAGATATCCCTGCTGTTGCACAACTCTGTATGCTCATGTAACGACCAACCCTGCCCGTACACTTAAGTAGTCATTAATCCCTGCTCACCCAACTCTTCCTCACTATTTCTCCTCTCTCACACTAGTATCTAGTATTGGCCACTGGCTATTGTGATACTGTAAAAGCCATTATTCTAACGAGGTGCATATATGAGCCAGGGACTATAGAAACCGCCCTACGACGTTTGATATCAAAATCAAGTTATGACGTTTCAAAGTCACGCGACTCAAAGTTACGCGAAGCGCAGAACTCGTCACTTTTGTTTCGACAAGACTCAAGAGCTGTCCTCTTGTTATGTTGATTAGGTGTTTGGTGAAGACAATAGGATTCCCAGCGATTGTCGAGTAACTCAAGAGGCTCCACTTGCTGTGATTGATTATGGCTACAACATCTAGTAGACGACGCAGCTCGATGCTGTGTGGAGTCCCTGACGCAATAGCGAAGGCGCTTGAATCGGACGACGAGAATTTTTACGGATTCAGCGCTGGCACCCACGAGTCGTCCGCGAGCGATTCCGACACCGATGCTGACAGCGACGGCGATGATATGCCACCTAAGAAGAAGACGTATGGAGTCGCAGCAAGCTCGAGTGCTGCTAGTGTTGTGTCGAAAACGCCAAGCCCCGACAGCTCGGAAATTTCAAACGCGGAGAGTGACACCGACTACTCGGAATCGGATGACGAGCCAGATGACCCCGCACCTGAGCCACCGACGACGGAGCAGGTGAAGCGTGGTCTCCTGTCTTCAGACATACGCGATGGGATTGAGAGAGGTTGTGGATGCAAGTCGAAGAATCATTGGAAAGTCATCCCAGAGCAGCAGCTCGAGGACTACATGTTTGAAGTCTCTAAACTCCGAGAATCGAAAAAGCGCTTCAAGCAGTTTGTTCTGGGCGCACTGACTGGAAGCATGCGAAAGTCGACGACTGGTGGTGGTGATCGACCTTTCTATTTCCGCTATCATGTACGTGGTTACGAGTTGTGCAAAGACGTGTTCATGGCAGTTCATGCTGTTGGAAGTCATGTAATGAAGCGCCTTCAAAAAAAGGCAAGCAAAGGAGTCGTTCAACTGGCACACCATGGCTTGACTGGGAGAATACCAGAGCACTTAGCCATTTCAGCAGACATGGAGCAGGATGTAGTGCAGTTTATTTATTCATACGCTAACATGTACGGTCTACCTCAGCCTGCAGCGGAACGAGGTCGTGCTGAAGACCCTCCAGTATACTTACCAGCATCCAAGAACAAGAAGTCTGCATACAACATCTATACCAAGACCGTCACACAGTATTCGCCTATTCATTACAGGTCATTTTGCCGCATTTGGAGGAGACAGACAGCACACATCAAAGTGATGAAGCCAAGGACAGACGTATGCGCACTGTGTGACAAGCTGCGGGACAAAATTCGTGTCGCTCGTACAGAGGAAGAGACGGAATGTAGTGTTCAGGCCCTGCGTTCGCACATATCACTTGCACAAGAGGAGCGGCAGTACTACCGAGACTTAGTGGACGGCGCGCAGGCGTCACTGGATGAAGCTGAGGGCATAGTTCACTATACATTTGATTTTGCCCAGCAACTTGAACTGCCATTTCATACTCGCCAGGTCGGTCCTCTGTATTTCAAGGTCCGCTTCAGGGTTCAATTATTCGGCATTGCAGAAGAGGCCCGCCAGCGGCAAATGAACTTCCTGTTCCACGAGGGCCAAACGATCGGTGAGGATGGAAAGAAGGCGCACGGCCCGAATGCAGTTGTATCGATGCTCGATGAGTTCCTAACATGCCACACCGATGGGAAACGGAACATTCACTTTCACGCGGACAACTGTGTAGGCCAGAACAAGAATAAAACTGTACTGGCCTACATGGCATGGCGCATTATGTGTGGCATGTCAGATACCATCGAGCTCTCGTTCATGCGAGTGGGCCATACTCGCTGTGCAGTGGACGGCTACTTTGGGCTCCTGAAGAAGAAGTTCCGTGCGTTAGAGATGGACACTATGCAAGATGTCATGGATTGCACTTCATCCTCATGTGCCGCAAACACCCCGCTTGCATACAGCTGGTCATGGAGAGAATGGGATACTTACCTGAGCACCATCTTCAAGCCTCTGAAAGGGATCGGGCACTATCAGCACTTCAGGTTCGCTTCTGACAGCCCTGGTGTGGTGCACATGAGGAAGGAATGCCACGGTGAAGAGGAGTCATTCACCCTGTTGAAAGATGAAACCTTCAGGGAGAAAGCCAAGGATGCAGTTCGCCCAGCAGTATTACCAGCACCAGGGATATCAGATGCACGCCGCCAGTACCTGGAGAAGAATGTGGCTCAGTACTTCTCGGAGGGAAGTCAGCTCCCTTGGCTGCCTAACTAGCAAGAATGCCGGGAGATATACAACGAACATTACAAACTGTGTACATAAATTTGCTCTATATCGCTCAATTGACATGCCATTATTAAATAGGTGGTTAGGCACATTTTACCATCGCAGATCAACTTGAAATTTTGTTTGAGCACATTACCATACCATACCAACATTTTGAGAGGAAAAAAAAAATTTCGCCAAAAAGTGCCATAGGGTGGTTTCTGTAGTCCCTGGCTCATATAACGATTTCCCAAAATTGACTGGTTTATGTGTACCAAAGGTAACGATTCTCACTTTTTCTCAACGCTCAATAGGACAGTATATGTATCGATTTCTGTATAACGATTTCTATTTTAACGTCAGATTTCTCCCCGTTAACTCGTTCTAGTTAGCACTTCGTTATATATCTGGCTTTTACAGTAATAAAGATGCAAAACTAACCAGGCGTATCTGCTGTGCCTCGTCGGTGATGAAGAGGTTCTCGCTGTGCATGTAGTGCCTGGCACTGTCCAGCATGGCCTGCAGGGGAACTAGACCAACTAGCTGTGAGCCAACCACCGCCAGACTCAACGACTGAGCACAAAACACACGCACGCACACACACGCACCCACCCACACCCACACCCACACACAGACATACACACACACACAGACACAGACACAGACACAGACACACACACACACACACACACACACACACACACACAGAACAAGAGCACAGCACAACAAACAACGAGATTCGTTCAAACAAAGCTGCCCGAGACGTTTCTTTAGGTTTAACTTTGAAAATGGTACTATCATGTCTCTCATCCGGACCTCCGAGTTACAGGCACCTCGGTCTACCGGGCACCATGTGGGTGAGTTTTAGTGGAAATATTACTACTACCCTTCCTAAGGGTTTATTCCTGAAGACGGGCCTGGCCCGAAAATTTGGCTTTTATCATTTTTGGAAGAATTTGTAGCCAAGAGACCGTTTTCGAGTAGTGGTGTATAACTGTGTGAAACAGGTTCTGAGAGATCGCGAAAATTTAGTGACGCGTATATACTGTGCGGTTTCTAGTAGTCGTACCTGTGAGATGGCCTTGCACTCCTCATAGACTTGGTGCATGGAGGTGACTGTGAAGTCAGTCAGGTTGATAGATACTTGCGCCATGTTCTCATCACTTAAGTACCAACCAATAGCCCGGCAGGACTTGAACTTGCCCGGCTGCACACCGGCGGACAGAAACATACACATACACACACATACAAACACATACACGCATCATACGCATGTACATACGCGCGCACACAAACACGCATACATCATATGAATGTACACACACACACACACACACACACACACACACACACACACACACACACACACACACACACACACATACACACACACACGCACGCACGCGCACGCACACACACAGTGTCTGCTCTAGGATTGTAGGACAGCCGGGTACACGTGTACCTGGCGCAACCATTTCAACCGGGTCGGAGCCGGGTACACATGTACCTGGCGCTGTCTCACCAGCCGAGTCACATGCTTCAACTGGTTGGTTGGTTTATTTTAATTCGGACAATAAACGGGAACTAGGCCCAATGATATAAAGGCGAATGGATAAGCCGCATTTAGAAAAGAGAGGACAGGAATTAGAAAATTACGAAAGAAGAAGAAGTACTGGAGTCTGACACATACAAGCCATGTAGTCAGTCCTTTCAAAGTTCGAAAGTGTAAAGTACCAACCGGGTCACAGGTGACCCGGTACTATATTTTCAACCGGGTTCAAGCGCCGCCCAACCGGGTGGATTACCCGGCTCACCCGGCGCTGGAGCAGACACACACACACACACACAGGCATTGGGTATCCAGTTCTCTACTCAAGCATTTACATGTACATGTAGGTATTGGTTTCCACTGACCAAGGCTACATAGCACACTGACGAAAGCTACATAGCACACTGACGAAAGCTACATAGCACACTGACGAAAGCTACATAGCACACTGACGAAAGCTACATAGCACACTGACGAAAGCTACATAGCACACTGACGAAAGCTACATAGCACACTGACGAAAGCTACATAGCACACTGACGAAAGCTACATAGCACACTGACGAAAGCTACATAGCACATTGACGAAAGCTACATAGCACACTTGAGGGGATAATCTCTGTTATTTAGATTATGAATGAGGCCCAGTGCCAAAGAGTCCTTACCGTACGAGTAGAATCTCTCACGAGGAGCAAAGTTTAACGATTCATTAATTAAAGAGAAAAAAAACCATTGAAGCGTAACCTAAACCCTCATTCTCTCTTCTGTTCTGGAGAAATGAAACATTGGGGGTGTAATGTCAGGGGTCATTGAACTTTGTGCCTGCAAAGTCTTACATAATATATGTTCTGAGCTTAGACTTGTTAAACTACCAACGATCAACTAAAAACTATCAACTATTACGTTGTTTGGGACAATGTCAAGAGTATAAGCTACCAAAAGTGTGCAGCTCCTGATACCCTGCCTATGGGGTTCGCCGATGGTGAAAACACACATCACGTGGTATAGTGTTTCCGTTGCATGTTTCTAAACCGATTTGAGCGAGCAGCTGAGTAATACAAATACCAAAATAGCTCTCCTTGACAGAAATTTACTCCGCTTTATCCAACTCCCCAGCATGGTCATGGCAGATAGTCGGATAGCGCATGCTAACCTTCGTTGCATGCCGTACAAATCGTACTTGAAACAGGTGACGTAAGTTTTCACGGTGTTACTAGTAAACACTCTTGGGAGCTTATCTACGCTTGACGATGTGTACGGGAAGTCCTTAGAGACTGCCGCGGTAAACAGACCGTGTGGATAACAAAGAAAAATCCTGCCTCCGGCAATAATAATGGATGGCAGGGACAAAAGCAGCGTGTACAACATACCTCATCCCTTGAACGCCCCTGCTAAGCAGCGTGTACAACATACCTCATCCCTTGAATGCCCCTGCTAAGCAGCCCGTACAGCATGCCTCATCCCTTGAATGCCCCTGCTAAGCAGCGCGTACAGCATACCTCATCCCTTGAACAACCCTGCTAAGCAGCGCGTACAGCATACCTCATCCTTTGAACGCCCCTGCTCGCGTATATCCAAGGCCACGCGGTGTGCCTGCTCTTTGGTCGAGAGCATGTTGACATTGTAGGCGATAAGAAATGGCCGAGCACCGCACACTGTGGCACCCCAGCTTGGCACAAACTCAGCGGGGCCGTAGTCTGGAACCCAGTCAGCCAGCTTGATCTGCATTGGGAAAAGCAAAATAATAAAAGAATGCAAAGAGCCGTTTCGGAGAAAGGAGTTTCAGCAAAGCAATGACTAAAACAATTTTTTTGGTTTGTTTTCTCATATACATGTACATTATTCTATGTAGGGTCACTGATGACCATCGAAGAGAAACATTTCTGAATTCGACTTCACATAATATATTTTTATTATTTTATTAGTCCATCATGGTATTATGTTAGGACATTTGAGGCCACATGCCTCGTACTGCTCTTTTCTCTCCGAAACTCAACACTTGCAAGCCAGATATGAAAGAAAGAAAAAAAAAAAAAAAAAAAAAAAAAAAAATATTATGGTTGATAAATATGGTGGTAAAGACACACCTGGCAATATGGCGGTAAACACACGCCTGCCCACACACGCTCTCTAGGCTGCAAAGTTCTGGCACAGTGTTTACCGCCATATTGCCAGGTGTGTCTTTACCACCATATTTATCAACCATAAGTACAGCTGCAGTGGTGTCTTCAGCTTCATTCATCATCGTATTATGTCGGCTTTAATTGCTTTATTCATTGCTTTGTAAAAGAATGCAGCGCAATTGAAAGCAGGAACTCAAATCCGCTGTCTCCAGAATTTTCGGACCTGCGGGACCTGTGCTTCAACGGTACCAATTCAGCGGACAGAATGTGTATGCTATCGTGTAGGAACTCGCTCCATAGAAGTGTGTGAGTGCGTGTGTGTGTGTGTGTGTGCGTGGGTGTGTTTTGTGTGTGTGTGTGCGCGCGCACGCGTGTGTGTGTGCGCATGTGTGTGTGTGCGTCCGTGTGAGGCATGTTATAACATGCGAAGGATTGCCATGGTTCACATGCAATGTTGAGAGTGATGAAAGCAGTAATTTATGTCGGGTTTAATCCTTTTTCAAACACACACACACACGCACATAACCACACACACAAGCACACACACGTATACACACAAGCACACACACACGCATGCACACACGCATGCACACACACACGCACACACACACACACACACACACACACACACACACACACACATGTACACACACACACGTATACACAAGCAGCATAGCTAAACTTTGCACCTCCAAATGCATGTACATGTCAGGGTTCTTGTTTTTTGCGGAATCAGCAACAAAATTGTCGATCGATTGGAGTTGAAAAGATGGAACAAATACTCAACTGAACACTAAGACGCAAAGCCTACTCCGAAGGCCAAATACAATAAGACATGATGGACCACGCCATAACAGCAGGGTGTGAAAGCAATCTCCAAATCAATGAATGCATGGAGCTGGCTACACCATGAAAACGACGTCATTCCGAAAAAAAGAGTTGCAGCAGCTACTCACCAGCTGCAACAACTCTGGCCAGTTCTGTGCTCTTGGCGACATGAATAGCAACAGGTCTCTCATAGGTGCAACGGTACGGCAATGGATGGCAACTGCACCATTCCAACTTACCTTGGCAGCAAGACCTTCATATTCCCCAGCCCGGATTGATGGCAGCGAGACACGGTGAGGGCCTTTCACTGCAGCATCCTGCCAGACAACACATAGCACACACACACACATACGTGAAATAAGTTACAGCATCCTGTGAGCCCACACAGAGCCCACACACGCACCCCCCCCCCCCCCCCCCCACACACACACACGAAAACAGTATCCTGTCAGCGAAAGGGGGGGGGGGGGGGGGGTAGTTGATCTTACCAAGAGTACATAACCCCCCCCAGAGTGTGCAACGCCTGATCCAGCTCTGCATAGGGTCTTGGTCGAGCGGAATCGGATCTTTGCGTCATAATACCGTACACATCTGAGGGGAACCCGGGAAGTCGCGGGTACTCTCGGATCAAAAACAATGGTACCCTGCCTCGAGACCGGCCTTGCGCTGGTGTGGAGTGTACACATGACATCAGAAGATCCGATTCCGCTCGACCAAGACCCTATGCAGAGCTGGATCAGGCGTTGCACACTCTGGGGGTTATGTACTCTTGATCTTACTCATGACTCATTACACACGGTTCCGTGTCTCGGGTTAAATAATGCAAATTGTCGAAGACCGTGTTCGCAAATTTGTTCGTTATTCTACTAAAGAAAGTTTGTTATGGACAATCTCATGTTCAGCGCAGCCCTAGCTGAAGTATTGCTCAGCCCTAACTGAAGTATTGCTCAGCCCTAGCTGAAGCATTGCTCAGCCCCGGCTGACGCATTGCTCAGCCCTGGCTGAAGTATTGCTCAGCCCTAGCTGAAGCATTGCTCAGCCCTAGCTGAAGTATTGCTCAGCCCTAGGTGAAGTATTGCTCAGCCCTAGCTGAAGTATTGCTCAGCCCTAGGTGAAGTATTGCTCAGCCTTAGCTGAAGTATTGCTCAGCCCTAGCTGAAGTATTGCTCAGCCCTAGCTGAAGTATTGCTGAGCCCTAGCTGAAGTATTGCTCAGCCCTGACTGAAGTATTGCTCAGCCCTGACTGAAGTATTGCTCAGCCCCGACTGAAGTATTGCTCAGCCCTGACTGAAGTACTGCTCAGGCCTGACTGAAGTATTGCTGAGCCCTAGCTGAAGTATTGTTCAGCCCCAGCTGAAGTATTGCTCAGCCCTAGCTGAAGTATTGCTCAGCCCCGACTGAAGTATTGCTCAGCCCCGACTGAAGTATTGCTCAGCCCTGACTGAAGTACTGCTCAGGCCTGACTGAAGTATTGCTCAGCCCTAGCTGAAGTATTGTTCAGCCCTAGCTGAAGTATTGTTCAGCCCTGACTGAAGTATTGCTCAGCCCTAGCTAAAGTATTGCTCAGCCCTGACTGAAGTATTGCTCAGCCCTGGCTGAAGTATTGCTCAGCCCTGACTGAAATATTGCTCAGCCCTAGCTGAAGTATTGCTCAGCCCTGACTGAAGTATTGCTCAGCCCTGACTGAAGTATTGCTCAGCCCTAGCTGAAGTATTGCTCAGCCCTGACTGAAGTATTGCTCAGCCCTGGCTGAAGTATTGCTCAGCCCTGACTGAAGTATTGCTCAGCCCTGACTGAAGTATTGCTCAGCCCTGACTGAAGTATTGCTGAGCCCTAGCTGAAGTATTGTTCAGCCCTAGCTGAAGCATTGCTCAGCCCTGACTGAAGTATTGTTCAGCCCTGACTGAAGTATTGCTCAGCCCTAGCTGAAGTATTGCTCAGCCCTGACTGAAGTATTGTTCAGCCCTAGCTGAAGTATTGCTCAGCCCTAGCTGAAGTATTGTTCAGCCCTAGCTGAAGTATTGCTCAGCCCTGACTGAAGTATTGTTCAGCCCTACCTGAAGTATTGCTCAGCCCTAGCTCACTGCTGAAGTACATATATTGCTTAGCCCTAGCAGGAGTAACACGTAGTGCTGCGGCGTTCACAAACACACTTACCTGGTACAAGTACACTGGTACGTGCAAGTCCGCAGCCAGCCGCCTGGCAAACTCGTTGGCGCACCTGACCGCATCCGCCATACAGGCGTTGGCAACCGGGATGAATGGACAAACGTCCAGCGCTCCCAGCCGTGGGTGTTCGCCTTGACAAGGCCGATACGGAGTCACAGAAGCACAACGAACACGGGGTCACTCAGAGCTGCTGCAACACATCAGCAGTAGCAGCCGACAGCTTTAAAGCCACCTCGACGCCAAAAAGCATGACAACACGATAGCCAGCCAGTGATTGCTACACACCACAGCTACTCAGAGTTAATACAGTGAAACCTGGTTAAGAAGAACACTAACAACACAAACTTTCGCTTTAGAAGAATTAGTGTTCTTAGGTCTATTGGATAAATCACTGTGTATTCACTGGGTATAAAATATGGATAAGGAGAACTCCCATTATTACAAACAAATACCATCGGTCCCTTGGTGTTCGTCCTAACGAGGTTCGACTGTACCTAAACTGGATAATGTGACTTACTCTGGAAACAACAGCCGAAAATATCGCGACTCCTTTATTCACGTTCTAAGGCGTCACTGCACTCAAGAAAATGTTGGTTCAGTGGAACAAAAAGACTTGACGACCATGAGTGGATATAGATGTACAGTACTACTGCATCGGGCGGTCTTCATCGCTTTTCGGTTTTTTCGTTTAATCCACGGCTGAGATGCACGCCGATCGAATGCCGCATTTATACGCTAATTTAATTGGTCCATAAAGGGTTAAAATCGTGTCTTACTGACATTGCCGGCTAAACCAAACTCCCTAGCCACAGGGCTGTATATGCATGCCATGGCTGTATATGCATGCCATGGCTATACATGCTTGCCATTGCCAGTAGGCGGTAGCTCCCCAGCCACAGGCTGTACATGCGTGCCATGGCCAATAGGCGCTAGCTCCCCATCGCGGGCATAATCAGGCCATCAGGACCGATTTACGTCATTTTGGGGGAATAAGTCGACCTTTCAACCTACCACCTTTCCTAATATGTTGCTTCGTGCAGTAAGAAATCAAATCAAGCACGCTCTGTCTGTCTGTCGTGATGGCTGAATCTTGCCCTTGCCTGCAGCCCTCGGCCCTTGAATCTTGCCCTTGCCTGCAGCCCTCGGCCCTTGGGCGGACCGTAGTGACACGTATTTGAACGACTTTTTACGACTGCTTGCTGCTTTCACGCACCCCTTGCGCAATAGCGCAGGGTCAGAGGTTACCTGGGTGCTGCGTGTAAAACGTAGTCTGCATGCAGGCTTAAAAAAATGTTGCCTTTTAGGTTTTATATGATTTTGTACAGGATGTTGTATGTACGTAGTCTGTTTTTTTCTTCTTTTTTTACAAAGTCCACATATCTCCAGACACTGGGGTGAATAATGGAGTGTGGTGGTGGGCCTCATTAAGCTCAGCCGACCAGAGGTCTCCGCTTTATAGCTTCATGGACGCACCAAAGGGGGATCGGGTAGGGAGGATTAAGTGGAAAAAGAGAACTGTAGAGGGCCTTATAAGCGAATGGGCTCAACGGTGGATCACTACGGTACCAACCTTTGTGCCCGCTCATATCAATCAGCTGGTGAGCAACTCTACAAGCATGCAGTGCTGCTTCTACAACATCCTCCGGTCCACCGACAAACGTGTACACAGTCCTGAAGGACAGACACACACACACGGAGACACATGGTGGGAGAGAGAGAGAGAGAGAGAGAGAGAGAGAGAGAGAGAGAGAGAGAGAGAGAGAGAGAGAGAGAGAGAGAGAGAGAGAGAGAGAGAGAGAGAGAGAGAGAGAGAGAGAGAGAGAGAGAGAGAGAGAGAGAGAGAGAGAGAGAGAGAGAGAGAGAGAGAGAGAGAGAGAGGGGGGAGGAGGAGGAGGAGGAGAAGGAGGAGGAGGAGAAAGAGGAGGAGGAGGAGGAGAGGAGAGAGAGAACAACATCAATGGATGGTGTCTTGACTCCATAGCCCACAAGCATGTTTTCACAGAGGCTCAGGATGCAGCTTGCCATGCTGTACACACCGCCAAGGAAAACTGGATCCAACAAACAGCGTACATACAGCGCTGGCAGCTGAAATCCGACCATTGAGCCATGTGTTCACATTCTAGCGGTCTCTATTTCCTAGGTTTACTATCCCGTGTTGGGTGTTTGCGATGTAACTGGCGCACCGCTCAGGGGTTGGATTTCAGTAGCCAGCACTCTAGTCCAGACTGGACCGCTTCACTGGAAGGCCAGCATGGCGTGTAATCAGGGATGAACAAACCTGCCGCTTCACTGGAAGGCCAGCATGGCGTGTAATCAGGGATGAACAAACCTGCCGCTTCACTGGAAGGCCAGCATGGCGTGTAATCAGGGATGAACAAACCTGCCGCTTCACTGGAAGGCCAGCATGGCGTATAATCAGGGATGAACAAACCTGCCGCTTCACTGGAAGGCCAGCATGGCGTGTAATCAGGGATGAACAAACCTGCCGCTTCACTGGCAGGCCAGCATGGCGTGTAATCAGGGATGAACAAACCTGCCGCTTCACTGGAAGGCCAGCATGGCGTGTAATCAGGGATAAACAAACCTGCCATACTGGCCTGAAATCAGTGACTGATCAAGCAGTACAGTAGTCACCGAATGTGAGCCGCACCTTTCCACACTCTAAACTTCAAGAACAAAGAAGGGGGTGCGACTCACAATCGAGTGTGACTTCTTACTTATGCGAACGTATTGAAACAATTTGGCTCAGACCTGAAAATGGGTTGCGACTTATAATTGGGGAAATGCAGTATTCAAGTTGGATGGAAAGACTTGTGCATCATTGGGTGAGTAGCTACAGCGCTGGCTTGAGCACTTTACGACAGTATTGACTATTGAGTGTCTGCATTGTGTTTCAGATCGAAGTATTCACTGATTGGCATCAACAAGAAGTAAACAACTTTGTTGCCAGCCTAACTTATTACCGCTGCCTGGTGTTGACGGTGGCCTTCGACATTTGTCTTTTGCTAGCTTGTGTGGTACCTCACCCGCATAATTGCTCATTCACGGTTCTCTGCTCCTGCGATGCGACTGTAAAACGGGTAATTTTAGCGACGGTGATATGTGATACAGTCAGACCTCGCTTATCCGGTCCTCGTTTATCCGGATCCCTCGCCATCCGGAAGAAAATTGTTGGTCACCGATTTACAGCAATGCTATGCCCACACACCAGGCAGGCACAGTGGGTGGGTCAAAGACCATGATTGAGATACGAGAGGTACCTGGTTCAAGTCCTGCCTGGGAGCGTTTTTCCAGCCGTGCTGCTACCCACAGTCAACTGGGAACTTGTGGCCAGGCACAAGGGGTACATGGATGCAGCTAATGGGGTCGCTTTTGGCACTTGTGCCAGTGGTTGTGAGACTTACCCACTCACCCCCACCGTTTGGCGTTGCATCTGCCGCTAGGGTTTATCGGGTGTTAGCGGCCGTCGTGAGTTCCCTTCGGGAACGGATACGATAATTTACTTTTTTTTTAATTTTTTATGCCCACACACAGTGTGTGTGTTCGATTATCCGGTTCCCTCGCCTATCCGGATATTTTTGTGGAAAACGGATGTGTGCGGTTAAGCGAGGTCTGACTGTATGTTAGCGATTTTTAGCGAAAGGAGTGTTTTCGCTAACGTTTTGCTGCGCCAATCGAAATTTTGCGTGAAGAGAACAGTACGGATCGTCCTTCTTTCTAAACTCTGAAACTCGGATCGCTAAAAAATTTCGTCGCCAATTGGTCCAGATTCAGAAAACTTTGAAATTTGCACCTGCTAAAATTAGCCTTTCTACAGTACCTTGCAGACTTTCTCCTAATTGTGCGTCTGAGTTTGCCACTGTTCCAGCCTGCTGGCGTAATGCCTATCTTGTCCCCAGTCCTACGAAGGGTGACCGGGGAAACTGCAATAACTGCCGTTGCATCGCACCACTCGATGTGGTGGGGAGAGTGTGGCAGGATCGCACAAGACCGACTGCGGACCATAGCAGAAAAACAGCTGCCTGAATCGCAATGTGACTTTCGGCCTCGACATGGTTGCCCTGATGGGATATTTAGGTCCGTCAGGTTGACGAGAAGGCGTGTGAACATCGCACGCGGGTATTCTGCACATGCGTGTGGACCGGCGTAATGAGTGGTCCACGCTAGCCTGATTCTTCGGCCGATATCGAATCGTAAGAAAACATCCTCAAGATCGGCCTGGTCTGGGCCGTGTTGTCGCACGTGTTTCCGACAAATTTGTGTGCGTAGAGGTAGTCCGTGTCTGTCCGACACAGCCGGTCGATTTCTTGTCAGAGTCGGTGTCGGAGCGTCGGCGGAAAAATCGGCCTTGTGTGAGCCAGGCATACGGCATGCGACTCGGTTCAGATAGATGCCGTGTGGCGTGCCCTGTCGACCCTTGCTGCACTGGATAGTGGATACAATGGTGCAGTTCATCCCGTCCTTCCACGACAATGACATGATGGCGACGACGGGTGGAGTGGGTAGTGATGTCACTGACTGCTTTCGGGTTCAGGATGGTTTAAGACAGGGTTGTGCCACGACCCCTGTACTTTATAACCTCAACCTCGTCCTTGTCTTGCACTATCACGGCGTACATATTTCCTCTCTATTTTTCCCACAAAGCCACCATGCTGTGGAATTGTTTACCGCCATCTCTCACTTCTATTTTATTTATTTATTTATTACAGCATCTCATAGCACAGTGAGAACACCGGCCAATACAAAGAGAGAGGGTGTTAGCCAACCACGGCAAGGAAGGGAGAAGGGGAGGAGAAAAAAAAAAGAACCGGCATGGATAAGTAGTGATTGCAACAAAATGAGAAACACAAAATCAAAGTCAAGGCGCGACAAGGCTCTTAAAAAGGCGGAGGGAAGAAAGATCCTTAGCTTCTTGGGGAAGTGCCAGCCACGCAGAGTACGCAGTGAAAAGGGGAGAGTGAAGTAGAAAGGAGGACTTGGGTTTCGGAAGGGAAAGGGAGTTTCACGTGCTACGGGAAGAAAACTATAACCTGTCTGCCCGAATTCAAACAATCCCTCTTGCAGCACTTTCGCCGACACACTCACTACATTTATGGCACACCAACCCCATTGACTTTCGCCATTGCTGTGCCTGCTTATTTTTCTTTTGTGTTTCTCTCTTTGCACGCTTGTACTGT